AAAAAAAAAAAGAGACTGGATCTTGCTCCTGTTCAGGCTCGTCTTGAACTCCTGAGCTCGAACAATCCACCTGGCCTGGCCTCCCAGAATGCTAGGATTACAGGCATTAGACACAGCGCCCAGCCAGCTTTATAGATATTAAACTTCAAATATTATATGCTTCAAACTGAGCTTAGCTATTTCCCTTACCTTCCACCCCTAACCTACCTGGGTCAGTGAATGGGATCATCACTTACACCCAGTCACCTAAATCAGAAAACTAGGTTCCATTATTTTTTCTTCCATTTCCAATCAGTCATCAAGATATACCTCTCATTCCATCCTTACTGTCACACCCCAGTCACAGTTTAGGTCTCTATCATCTCTCATGTGGCATCGCCCACCCTACTCGATTTTCATACTACTGCCAGAGTGATGGCTCTAAAAATGAACATTTCATTCTTTTTTTTTTTTTTTTTGAGACAAAGTCTCAAGCTATAGCCCTGGGTAGAGTGCTGTGGCATCACAGCTCACAGTAACCTGAAACTTTTGGGCCCAAGAGATTCTTTTGCCTTGGCCTCCCAAGTAGCTGGGACTACAGGAACCCGCCACAATACCCGGCTATTTTTTTGTTGCGGTTGTCATTGTTGTTTCAGCAGGCCCAGGCCAGGTTGGAACCTGCCAGCCTCAGTGTATGTGGCCGGCACCCCACCCACTGAGCTACAGGCGCTGCTGAGCATGCTGAGCATTTGATTCTGAGCTTGTAATCACTACACTACATACGCACATGTTCTCTGTTCTCCAGCAACCTGTAACTACTTGTTTCACACTCCTAAGCATTCTGTTCCCTCTGCTTAGAATCTATGCCTACCTTCTACCCTTGTAATTATTTGATAAATGCCTCCCTACTTTTTGTGATCTTTTAAGGGTCTCCTCTGTTAAGCATTCCTGTCCTTACTCCATAAGTAGAGCTGAGAACTACTTCCTCTCACCAAGGAATCTTGAAACTATTGTAATGATCACTTTTTTTTTTGAGACAGTGTCTCAAACTGTCACCCTGGGTAGAGTGCCATGGCATCACAGCTCACAACAACCTCAAACTCTTGGGCTCAAGTGATTCTCTTGCCTCAGCCTCCTGAGTAGCTGGGACTACAGGTTCCTGCCACAACACCTG